CTACCCCTGGTCACTCTGTCCTCTCCCCCAGTCACCCCTCTCCTCCTACCCCTGGTCACTCTCTCTCCCTTCAGTCACCTCTACCCCTGGTTAGTCTGTCCCTTCCTGGTCCTGTCTCTCTGTCTGTTAGTACTGTGCTCTTACTGCTTGTTCTTGCTTCTCTCTCCTGCTCTCGTGAAGGGAAGTGAAAAGGTTTGTGTCATGGTTTCCCTTTTCAATGACAGATGAGGTGTTAGAAATATCTGACACACATGGTGTCCTAATTACATTAACCTTGCCTCCTAGTGTCGTAGCTGCAGACCAGTGACATACTCATATTCCACAGTAAATTGTGTTGTATTCTATTATAACGTGTAGAGATTGTGTGTTGTAGTATGGTGTGAATTGTATATGTGTACTATAATAATGCCAGGCGTGTGGCCATTGACAAGGTGTTCATTAAAATATTCCCTTTTGAAAATTGTGCAGTTTCACAGGCATCAATTAAAAGATAGTGACACTTGTTAATAATATGCCAACTGCACAAAACAATTAACTGGCTCTGACTTTCTTTCAATGTTTAATTTCACAAGAATTCAAAAAGGAGGAAAATCATCTTCTTAAAAACTCCAATACACAACCCAAGGCTTCCATTTATTTGCACAGTGCAATTGTATGGATCAGGATATGAGGATTTAGTAAAGGACTGAATCCCATTCATTGTCTAACTGCATGAATTTGTCCTGTTTCTTGCAGTACTGGGCAGCCAACTTGACAGGCAGGTGCATGTAAATTCATAGGTCAACATCTGACAAATGACAGGTGTCAATTTAAATATTTTTAAAATAATGATATCTGGAAATTCCTGTTCCACACCTTGTCAATGGCTCTGCTATGCTACTGTAATATTGCATATGAAGCATGTTACAATCTAGTATAATAATGCATATATTACAGAATGTAGTGTGCCTGAATGTGTTGTATAATACACTTTGTAAGTTGTAGTTCAGTGTAATGAAGGATGATTTACCATGTGTGTGCTGTATCATACTTGTCTGTTGTAATCCAGTACAATAATGTGTACATTGTGTCTACAGTCAGGCCGTGACCTCCAGCAGTACCAAAGCCAGGCCAAGCAGCTGTTCCGCAAACTCAATGAACAGAGCCCCACTCGATGCACACTGGAGGCTGGGTCCATGGCCTTCCAGTGAGTATATCACACTGTGCAACACCGTTATACTGTGGAAACCTGTACAGCACTGTGCAACACTGTAATAGTGCGTAAACCTGTACAGCACTGTGCAACAC